ATGATGATGATGATGATGATGATGATGATGATGATGATGATGATGATGATGATTAGCATCAACCAAATCAAGCAACCAAAGACCACATAGTACCTCTAAGGCGAGGAAGGAGTAAGCGTCTGGCTTGTGGTGCCCTGTCACAGTAGCGCCCATGATGTTGGTTTTTTCCACTTTGTTGTTGGAAAACGCCGTGATAGAAGCAACTTCGATGAAAGAAAATAATAGTAATAATAATGATAATAATGATAATAATAATAACAATAACAATAATCAGGGATGCCAAATGATTTTGGAAAGAAAACCCCGGAAAATGAACTGAGCATCACACCTCACCTAAAACGAACCTTGTAAAATCTTTAAATGAACAAACAAAAACATACGATGAAAAGTTATGGGATAGAAATACTACAAAGTCAGTCGCCGTGTATGGAGAAAAGAGAGAAGGAGTGTGTTTGTGTGTGCATATTATGTGTTTGTGAGGGTGTTTGTGTGTGTGTGTGTGTGTGTGTGTGTGTATGCGTGTGTGTATGAGCGTTTGTGTGTTTGAGTGTGTGTGTGTATGTGTGTGAGGTTGTTTGTGTGTGCATGTGTGTGTATTTGTGTGAGCTGATAACTGGCACGATCAGCAGGCAGACCCTTCCTTGGATCCTGGAAAGGAGGGAGGAGCAGCTATGGCTATGTGCCGCCCGAATGATGCCTATTCTCCAACTGAGTAAGTAACCAAAGTAAGGGATTTTAAGGGAAGGAATTTTGGGTATAGAAAAGCTATATGTGCCATGACAAGGTCAGAATCAGGCTCTCGTCAAATGTTGGTCATATTTTAATGAAGTTATTGGTGTCATATCAAAGGTTATTCATTTGTCTTGCTTTTTATGATTAGAAAACCCCCCAAAACAAACATACTCATTTAACTTAATTAGAAGTCGAGATATTTGCAGTTGAAGGAGATGAGGTAACATAGTAATGGTACAATTAGCGAGAAAACGACTGCCAAAGTTTAGTGACCTCCAGAACTTGAGTGTCATTGGAAACTCCCTAACTATTTACATTTGTGTGCTTTTGATCAATGTTTTTCGCTAAAATCAACAAAGAATTGTAATTTTAAAAAAGGATATAACAGATGTTGTGCAATAATAATAATTATTATAAAAACGTATATTAAAAAATACTACTAATTTTTAAATTATTGAAAATTGTCAGACGAGCATAGAAATGTCAATTTCATCGATTTCATTATTGTAACGAGTGTATGATTTCACCTCCATACAACACGACATATTATATTAACAGTAACTTACGCGGTCCTCATTATCGCCACACCAGCTGAGATGTTGTGTGGATGCCCACTGTGACTGATACCGTAAGCTTCACACTTGTATAGGCCTGCCACTTGGTTAGCAGGGTATGTCCACTGAGGGGGAG